AGTTATAAAATTTTAAAAATGTTTTTTTTTTTAATTTTATAAAAATCTAACAACTATATCTTATAGCTGCTTAGGGATCTTATAGATCTTAGGGTATGCAGATATCGGTTTTCTTTGCTTCCATTTCGCTGATTTTCCACCTAGTTGCTTGACCAGTTGTCACTGTCGAATGAGAAACAACACACAACAACACACACACACTCGTTAAAAGGGGCGGCCTGAGTGAGTCATGCATTGATTAATTGATCAATTGATCGACTGAGCAGAGCTCTCGTCAATGTCTATGACAATGTTAATGGACTTGTTAATGTGAGAGGAAAAAGTTCAAAACCCATAGAGGACGGCAATACTACTAATTAACTTGTCTCACACTTAAATATTAAATTATATAAATCAATTATATATATTATAAATTATTTATTAAATATTTAAAATTGAGCATTCAGCCCAAAATTGGTGCAACAGTAGGCTTTATTTTATCTAGGGGACTAAGTTATATTATAATCTTTTATTTCTGACTATTGAACAGTATAAATAAAATTGGGTTTTAAATAAAATCAGGCCTGCTCCGGTAATCGTAAAATTTTTTCGATTTCGTTTTGGGCGAAAACGAACCGTTTTCGTTTTTAGCTGCTCCGGTTTTCGGCAAATTTCTGCTATCGGATGTTTCGTTTTCTCATCGTTTCTCACTGCTCAAGCAGCTAACTTGTGTTGTTGGTAATAAGCAAACAACGTAAAGTACTGCCTATTATATTTACAATTGCCCTTTTTCTAAGCCAGAAAAAGGCAAAAAATTGTAGAATTAAGCAAATCCAGGCACCTAAGATGCTGCCACACTTTTCACAGTTTTAATTCCGGTGGTCTCAAATAATTATTTGGTTAATTTGGACCATTTAAGTAATCACATTAAATAGCATTATTTATAAACAACCATTTTGGCGGTCCTTTAAAGTTATTAATGTATTCATTTATATTTTATAAGTATTTTTAACTGGCTGTTTCGTTCCACCAACAATATGGCAACCTTGGCGATAACTTTTTGAGGTGAACCTATCGACCTATCGCCAAAACGAGAAAACTGGTTGAACACGGCAAAACTTTTGTTGTCAAATCTGAGGTGGGGTCAGAAATAAATTTTTTATAAAATAACTACCTGCCAGAATGATCTTGTGGTGGTGTGGAATAAACATCAATAGACCACTGAGTAAACTATTTTTTTCCTTTTGTAAATAAGATCTGATTTCATATAAAAAAAGCCATTTACTTTTCATTCCGGCCAGAAAAAGGTGCCCGTTTTTCAAATCGAACAAATCTTTCGATTTCGATTACCGGAGCACCAAAATCTCGTTTTCAAAAACGAAAACGAAAAATTCTTGCCGTTTTCGATTACCGGAGCAGGCCTGAATATATATGCAATTACAAAAAAATATGCAAGGCTCAGCCTCAGCCAATATTGGGTGCCCCCAGAAAGTATGCAATTACAAAAATTTGCAAACTCAGTCAATTTTTGGGGGCACCCTGAAAATATGCAAGACTCAGGAAATTATTATTAAACCAGCCAAATATTAAACAAATGTAATGCTCTTTGCCTTAATTGAATTAAAACTACTGATTACAATGGAAATCGATGGAATAATCAATAAATTTGAAAAGCTGTGAGGATGAGAGCTGTTCAGACAAACAAATGACTGTTCTTTTCTGTGTTTATTTTTCTTTTTTATTCAATTAATTATTAATTAATTAATTAATAAATCTGCAAACTAATTATTTAATTCAAAAAATATAAATTCTTTGTATATTATTGATATTTTAATAATTTTGGAAAATGTTGGGAATATTTAAAAGGAATTTTTCTGGATTACAAAGGCAAGTTGAACAATAATACGATATTTTTTTGTTAAAATTTAATAAAATAAAAAAATCTGCATTCTAAATTTACATTTATTATCGTTAATAAGGCAGAATCGTACCTTTTGTCAGCTTGAAACCCGTAAAACTATCGTTTTCAATATCGTAAACAAACGTTTTTTGTCTGTTGGGTAGTTTTTGGAGTTGGGTGAATTTGCAGGCAGTGTGTAGGCCTAATATCCATCCCATAAATCTGAAAATCTGCTGTATTAGCGCACTCACATCTAGTTTCCGTAGGGCAGACAAGCTACAAAATAGGTGTCCCGCGGTACATGGATACGTGTCACAGCCATTGTGGGGCCATGGCGGCGGTTGGTTCGAGAGCGACAGGGGGGATGGAAAACTTGTCTATGCCGTCATAGCTTAGAAATAAAACAGTAAATGACAGCTTATAAAATGGGCAGGGGCTGTGCGAGTCGGGAAATAGATTCGCCTGGAGCAGGAAGTCGTAGCGAAATGCAGACCCAGATGGAGGAGACTCATACATCGACATCGACAACAACTGCGAAGAGTGCGTAATTGCTTTTTAAGCTCCAACTCGGGAGGCACGCCCTGGTTTCCCCCAGATTCCCCTTGCGATTTTTCCAATTTTTACCTGCTATTAACGGTAAAAGCTAGGCTCTCCAGACAGCGGTGCCTTGGCGGAAGAGACGTTGTTGCCTTGTCGTCGGGCAAGTCGGTTAAGTATCCCCAAAAAGAGAGACGACGCCCTCACAAAGCACAAATCCCACACGAAGTAAGGAAAAGGGTTGTCAATTTTCCCCTCAAAGAAAAGCTACAGCAGAGATAGCAGATAGGCTAGTATTTTCATTTGCTTTAGTTTCTTGAATATTGCAACTTGAAGCCAGAATCCACCGGTTTAGCTTTGATATTCAAGTAATTAAATTAACAAAAATAATTAAAATCTATGAAACTAGTCCAAGTTCGTTGCCATATAAAAGATATCGGAATCTGGAGTGTGTAATCAGCGTGAAAACTGAACGCCAATAACTACTACTTCGCGGCATTAGCGTGATGATCACCGATAAAGCTGCGTTATTAATTGATCCATCCCTCCACATCGTTATGGCCATCGATTTGAGCCATGTCCGTCCATGTCTTACCCTATTCAAAAGTTTCGCAGGCTGTTTATCTTGTCCCTTTTGGCGCTCGAGTGCGTGTTTGGCGCAAATGTCAAGACTAATATCGCTTAAGGGCCATTATAGGTTTAGGCCAGAGATTGATTAGCCGCAGAACGGGATTTGGGGAAGAGTTAGCTTGGCTATTTGCCTCGCATTTTGGGGAATGGCGAAAGACCTCTGGGATGTGTCAACATTTCTCCGGGCAAGGTTTTTCCAAATTAAAACGTTAACGAAATAGTAAAGTGCAGATTCGAGTGGAAATAAATAATAGGCCTTTTATGTAATATATTATCAATATGATATATAACACACAGAAGGTAGTGGAGATTTGTTTCAAAAATGTGTAAATAATATTTGGACCTTTTCAAGTCACATTTAAAGAAATATATATTCTTAAAAAACACTTTTTTTCATCAATACACTTTTCTAAATATTTTTATTTTATATTATTTTATCCATAGAAATATTAAATATTTTTTTTAATCTCAGTTTTTGATAATTTTAAGGATGGGGTTACATCCATAATTTTAAATGATAATTTTGGGGAAAAGTGAAATTTAGAAATATCATAGCTTGCCCATAAAAGCCTTAATTTTAATTCGTTCAGCTGTTCTATGTATGGTTTTATAAGGCTAACAAATCTGCATACTTTATTTTAAACTTTTAAGTATGTATTTTTTATGTCAATTTTTGGTTATTTTATTTTTTATTTAACCCTTGTAAAATGTTGAAAAATGAATTAAAAAATTGTTGTTCCCCCGACATAGCTTAAATGATTCGCCTGTTAATGCTGATCAAGAATATATATGATTTATAGGGTCGGAAATGACTTCTTCACCAAATAAAATCATAAAACCCTTCGAGAAGACCCAAAATATTTAAATTCTTTAAATATTTGTTTATGATAATTTTGTGTGAAAATCAAAGCTTAAAAATATCATAGCTCAGTCAAAAAAGCAGCAAATTGACTTTCGAAAACTGTTTTATGCTAGATTTCTCTATGTTTAAAAATCTGCATACTGCATTTAAAATTAAATAAAATCAAATTTTTGGAGGATTTTTGAGAATTTTAATGATGTAACCCCTTATAAAATTTAAAAAAAAAAATAAAAAAATTTGCTTTCTTCCGGACATTGCTAGAAAGGTTCGCCTGTTGATGCTGATCAAGAATATATATGATTTATAGGGTCGGAAATGACTCCTTCCCTGCTTTAGTGGCTTCTGACTGAAATTATTAATACCCTGCAAGGCTATTAAAAATCACATAAAAATTTTTAACTACAAAATGTAATTAATTTAAATTCGGAAAGCTGTTATAAGTTAGTTTTTATATGTTTAACAAATCTGGGTGCTGAATTAAATGGTGCTATTTCTTAGTACCTTTACCTATTATACCCCTAACCATCTCCCTGCAATCGACACTCTTCGATGTCTCACTCACAGCGGAGGCTGGAGCTACTACTGCCGAAGAGCTAAGCGGCAGCCACAAAAACAGTTGTACAACATTTACAGGTTTTTATGGGGCACACGCACCGAAAGGCGAGAAACGAGCAGCTGATCGCAGCACAAGAGCTCCTCCATTCATGAAAACCAAACGAGAAAAGCTCACAGCTCAAAGCTCTCTTTGTCCAAGTCTCTGCTATGGAGAATATACGAATTGTTGAATTCGTGAAACCAAATTAACGAACATGAATTTCTTATAATTTTTAAAACAGTAAGATAGTTGTTTCATGATAAAAATCCAATTATTCTTGGTTAGCATCGCCAGGCAAGAGTCTTTTACTCTTCCAACTTTACTTAAATTTAAACTTAAATTTAAAGTTTTCTAGTTTGTGGACTTGGCCACGTATAAACACAGTTTTTGACTCTCTGCTTCTCTATTTCTCTGGCTGGTTGTGGCTGCAATATGGGAATATCGGGCTTTAAAGTTAACAACAGCGCCTGCGCGAGGCTCAGACCGTTGATGGCGTTCGTTGGGAGCGCTCGTCACACGTCGCGATTTAAGCCGAGACTTTAAGCGCGATTTGAACGTGCGTTTTGCCGCCGACTCCGACTCTCCTTCCCCGTTTCCACAATCATTACCAAATTATTAATACGCCCCGTAAGCCAGTGTTAACATAAACCAAATATATACAAAATAACCAATGTCCTCCTGGCGCGTTCGAACTGCTTTTTTTTTCACACTTCTTTTTTTTTCAAGTGCTCAATGTGGATGGCCCGCCATTTCCGCATTTAGAAACTAAGCAATAAAAGGAAAAGAAACACACACAAGTGCTTGAAATAATTACTACTCGAAACTCTAACGAAATGCAAATTAATTACAAAAAAAAAAAATAACCGAATTGAAATAATGTTTGCATTTGATTTCTGTGAGTGTGTGTGTGTGTGTGTGTGGCAGCGGTTCCGCGCTAATAGTTTCCTGCTACAACAACAACAACAACAACAACAACAATAATAATAATAATGAAATCGAAATCGAAAACTAAAACGAAAACAACAAACAAAACTAGAAAACTGGCCAAATAAAACTGTTGCGAAAGTCTTTTTTTTGCTGCGTTGCATGTGGCACAAAAGCAGCTGTTGCCGCTGCTGCTGCTGCTGCCTGTTTAGTTAGCTTGTAGCTAACAAAATAAATTTTATTTTTATGACTTTTATGCGAAGCCGATAAGATGACAGTCATAATAACAATAGCCCCTGCACCACAAGCAGCAGCAACAACAACATTTTTGGCAACAACTTCAACACAAGTTACAACTATTTTTGGTGGCAAGATGCAAAGATGGAAGTGCCTATGCTCTTTGTTATACGATTTTATTTGATTTCATTTTTGTTACTAGCTTAAAATTAAACTTAAAAGTAGGGCTAGACTAGTACCCAGCAGACAGAGAGCAGAAAAATGTCTGCTAAAAATATTAAATATAGACAAAGTATCAGATTTTCCGCTTTAGTTTCGCTAAATGCTCAAAAACGAAGGCGCAAACGGACGAATAACGGACAAGTATCTCAAATTCTCAGGATTATACACGATAATGATGTCGTAAAAGGTCCGCAAACGAAATCTTATTCAGATTCCATAAATTATAGCATCTTCTGCCACAAAACCCATGATCATGATTAACTTTACTATCGTTTATGAGCCTGAATCGTACGTTTTGTCCGCTTGAAGCCCCCAAAACTATTGTTTTTGTCTGCTGGGTAGGGGATTCCATAAATAAAATTTTAAATATCTGAATGAAAGTTTTTTAGATCAGTTGTTTATATTTTTAAAATCTTTTTGTCTACAATTATTTAAAAGAATTACTATATTTATATATATTTCTCTCTTCTTAATGGTTTATAAAATTATCCATATACCCGCCATGTTTATAGGGTGCTTAGCACCGTGGAGGAGTGCGTGACCCCAGTTCACTTGAGCTCCCCCCCAAGCCTGTATCAGTACACATATACACATATACATATGTATGTATGCCCGTGTTGACCTGACTTGCTCTTGGACTCGGCGGCTTACAAGCCAAGAGCCAAAACCGAAACCAAAAAATCCGCAAGTAAGCCTGAGGCTGAGCGTCAAGTCCCCTTGAATGTCCGAAAGTGAAATTTCACTTTGCAGTTGTCGCTGCTTCGCAATTGTTGTTGTTGTTGTTGCTGCTGCTGTTGCTGCTGCTGCTGCTGCAGCTGGTGCAGCTGCTTTTCCAGCTTAACGGAAAGCATATCCGATATACATGTATAAATAAAAGTGAAATGAAATTAATATCTTGTTAGAATCCCCCCACAAAACCCACCACAGAAGACGCCAAAAAAATGACAGAGCGGAGAAGCAGGAGCTCCACCAGGAGCTGCTGGAACACCAAATCTTCAGCGAAAGTATTAGAAACCAGCAGAGAATTAACACTTAGTGGCCGCCGCCACCACCACCTGGTTGTCTGCAGCTTTATTGCCGTGCTCTCGCTGGCTTCCGTGGCCCTGGCCAAGCCACCGGATCAGGAAGCGATCCATCACCATGGTAAGTGTTCGAACTGGAGCTGTATCTCTGTATCTGTATCTCTCGTTGCTCAACTTAATTAGCTATGTAGCTGTAAAAGTGAAACTTTTCGCTGCGCTTTTGTTTGGCAGCTGAGAATTATGGGGCCTGGAGTCATCAACCCAGTCGGCCAATGGCCAGACTCGACTCGACTCGACTCCGGATCAACTCCAGAGTCGCATTTGATTTGTGGCAGAGCGCTTTCACTTTACTATGAGACTATGTTTTTCTTGCTGTTTTTGTTTTCGTTTTGGTTTTTTTCTCTGATGTGATGAAGGTTAATTCTATCAGCGTCTTTGGCACATTTTGGCTAATTACACCACTTTGTCATGGGTTTCAGTTTCAGTTTCGATTGCTGCAGATTCACTATCACTTGAATTAGGCTCCAAGTTGCTAATTTGCCCAGAGACAAACAGTTGAGTAAGCCGTGTATAACAAAAGGGCGTAAAGAAAGCCAACAAATTAATCAGCCACAATGATGGGTAAAAGAAAGAAAAAAAGACAGGCAGCTTTACCACAAAAAAGGTAGAAACAAAGCTAAAGTATCAAATGTGAAGAGCCAAAAACATTTTCCCAGACATCTCTTCACTCTTACGACATCTTCAGCAATTACTGGAACCTCTAAGTTATATGTATACATGGAAAATCGGGTAAGGCAACGGGAAAAGGGGAAGGGAGGGATACAAGAGACCCACAGACCGCATTTTCCTCTGGCTTCCGTGTAGTTTATTTTTCCTTTGTTATGGCAAAACATCTACTACATCTGGCCGCTACGTTCATCTGCCTTTTCCCAGTCACCTTTTCACCTTCCGACTTTTCCCCGGCGGGGGGAGTCTCTCTCTCTCTGTGTCATTATGTCACCGAAGCGAGAGGCACCGTGTTGCCCGTACCATTTACCAATTATAAAACTCGAAACGAGACACTTGTGGTCAAAATAATGGCTGGAATATGCCGAAATATTTCCCCAGTGTTTCAAAACAAGTCAAAACAAAGGGTTAACCAAGCCAAAAATTAGGAATTAGACCATAAACTTTTGTTTAAAAACTTTTAGTTGGCTTAATATTCTTTTGAAATCATTTTAACTTAGCAAAACCATTGTAAAACTTAGTATATCCATTCCTAAATATACCTAGATGATATTAAAACTAATTACCTTTGGTATTTAGGCAAAGGTAAGATCGCTTAAAACACTCAAGGGCAGGTCTTGGTTAAATGTTTATTTGGTTTAAACCATCTTCCGTTGAACATGCATCTCCCAGGTTCTAAAGTAGACGATCACAGACCGCAAATGAGAGATAAGATCAATTGCGAGACTCGGCAAATGTGTCCCAATATCTTCTTGGCAAGCTCATTGGGCCCAAAACCACAGATACAGATTGCATCACGAACCGCAGCAGCAACAGCAGCAGCAGCTACCTTGTGACAATTTCCAGATAATGCCTGAATCTGAACAATCGGCATACTGATGATGACGCCCCCAATTTGGGCCAGCTCTCAGACATATAATAATGCGAGAAACGAGGCGGTTAAATGCAACCGGAGCGAACAACAATTGCCATTCATTTGCACAATGAATGAAATTTAATGAGCGAGCGCGCCGGCTCACAATATACACAAATAATAAGTACGCGAAATAATAATAAGTGAAAAGGCCTCTTGAACAAAAATACACATAATACTTAAGACATTTTGGCCAAGCCGTAATGGCCAAGCAAAGCTCAAGCCATGAAATCATAAAATCAATGCGGCATGCAACTTTATAAACACAAAGATCCAGGCAGTCAGGAAACATACTATATAAGATTTTGAATAATAATCATCTACTTGGCTGTTTTCAAAACGTTAAATAACTTGGAACTTGGAAGCAAGTCGTGATATTAAAAAATAAATAAATATGGGTAACGTTTCCAGTAGAAATACATTTTGAATTCATTTCAAATTCTTAATTATTAATCTATTGAAAACTCTTTTAAATTATAAGCATTCATAGTACTTTTTAGCTTTAGCGTTTCTCCAACAGGAAGCTAATATTTCCCCACTTGAAATCTGATTTCTTGAGTGTGTATAAAATTCGATTTATTATTTGCACAATTTACGAGACAGTTTCAAAGAGCCGGAGATCTAGACTCTGACTCTCCCTCTCTCCGCGGCTACTGAATTTGCTTGCCACTGTTTGGGGTTTTGTATTTTGATTTGATTTTTGTTTTGTTTTTTATGATTTTTTTTTTTTTTTTTTTTTTTTTTGTGGTCTGTGGGCGTTGTTGTGGGTTGTTGTTGGAGGGGTTTATGGCTCAATATGATCAATTCAAATGGGGAAAATTGATTAAGGCAGGATAGCCAGCTTATTGCTGTATAAAATTGTTAACTAAAAAGGCAAAAAATCAAATGTAATGCTAGAATATATGTAATATATATGACCAAGTTGTTGCTAGTTAAATTTTGGGTAATCCAAATAAATACTCATTAAAGGTTTCCACACTTGTATTTATTTACATTCCAAAGTTCCCCAAAAATTACAAGTAGTTTTTTTGTTTTATTTATAAGCAATCCACATATTGATTGCTTAAGGTTACTCTATTGTTTATTTTCTTTCAAAGATTAAAAAAAAGCACACACTGTCTAATTTTTTGGAAAACAAACAAAAGTACAATTATGGAGGTCAGAAGCTTCAGTTCCTCAGAAAAGAAATCCCAATAACTTCCAAGTTGGAAGAGAATAAAGTCATAAGATCAACATTTTTTCAAACATAAATTGGGATTCCCCCCCCCTGCCCGTTTTATATTTTTTGGGGGTTTTCTCCTCAGTTGCCCATTTACCATGAAGGCGTTTCGCCTTTTTTTTTGCGCCAGCAATTAACATTTTGAACTTTGGCCAAAGGCTTTGGCAAAACTAAGTACATAAAAATTGGAACAAAGCCCCAAAGCTCCGTTTAGAGCCAAGAGTTGTCTTTGTCAGTTTGCCGGGCATTGTGTTAGCGGGGCTGTTAAATTTAAATGGTGAGTCTTAACCTTTAAATTCGGCGAAATATTTGAATGGGAACCGCTCGACCGGAGTGTAATTACACACATTTTCGGGCTCTGGGTCGGTCTCTGTGCGCTTGCGTTTCGTTATTGGGCAATGCAAAATTCAAATTCAAATCGAGGCAAAGTCTAAATAAAGGCCGAAAGAAATGCCGCCATCAATCAATTGGGCAAATTTAATTCGGGCCGAGCAAGAGGCTGGGCAGGGAAAACAAATGACATCGGCAAACAGTAGCGACAACTCGAAATGCGAAATTGAACCGAGATCGTAGATCATCGAGTTATGCAAATCTCCAGGCGATCGATAACACTCGATGGTTCAATTTAGCTTCAGAGAAGCCAAAAATCGTTTACATAATATTTCCCTTGGGTCTTCAGTCTCCCTGGTGTGGATTGTGGGTGCATAATTAGCACAGCTCATTAATATCGATCGCCGATTCAATGCTCCACATTGGGCGAAAGTGGCGGGGCAAATTAATCAAAATCAACGCACAGTCGGCGCCTTTTGCCTCCTATTATTTGAAATTTTTTAACATCGATCGATTTTATTTTTGCAACATTAAATAAATTAATGAAAATGTGCGACACGCTGGGCCAGGAGGAGGTTTTTATATAAAAGCGCCATGAATATATAAGCACTTTACTTGGTTAAAGTTTAGTTTTTTGACTTCATTTTAAAGGCTTGACTTGGTTTTTTGATTCTGGGCTGCTGAATAGATGACCATAAGAGAGACATCCTTACATTTTCTCTACATTTACCTATCGTTTCTATGGCAGCTATAAGATATAGTTGTCAGATCTTCATGAAATTTTTATAAAAATTCTGAAATAATATAGAAAGCTCATATCTCAAAGTACATGAAAATACGTTGAAAAACAACAAAGTTATACTTTTTATTCCCTAAATTTCACGATTGTTCCTATCGCAGCTATAAGATATAGTTGTCCGATCTTCATGAAATTTTTATAAAAATTCAGAAATAATATAAAAAGCTCATATCTCAAAGTACATGAAAATACGTTGAAAAACAACAAAGTTATCATTTTTTTTCTCTAAATTTCACGATTGTTCCTATGGCAGCTATAAGATATAGTTGTCCGATCTTCATGAAATTTGTATGAAAATTCTGAAATAATATAGAAAGCTCATATCTCAAAGTACATGAAAATACGTTGAAAAACAACAAAGTTATAATTTTTATTCTCTAAATTTCACGATTGTTCCTATGGCAGCTATAAGATATAGTCGTTCGATTTTCTTAAAATTAAACCGAAAATTCTAAAATATAAAAAAATGGCTGTATACCAAAAATAATGAAAATCTGTTGAAAAACACCCAAGTGATAATTTTTTTTCTAAAAATATATCGAAAATTTGTTAAGGCTAATCAAGAATATATTTACTTTATAGGGTCAAAAATGTACAATGTTTTCAAATCTTCTAGTTTTTAAGCATTTTTTTCCCCCACTACATGTTGGTTACTATATTTCCTGGTTAGTTTAGCCAGTTACCGGGTGGCCAAGAGTATTTCCACTTCGGGCTGCTCACTTTCATCGAAAGAAACACTTCCTCCGGGCTGATTAATTGCGGTTTCGGTGTGTTTCGCTTTCGTCCTAACATCTGCGACTTGCGATTGCAGCTACAAGCGCTCAAGTTTTGGCTTTATGTCGGATATTTGGCGCAATTTGTTCAACAAAACGGTGGGGCAATCGACTAATTTGAACTTAATGATGTCTTCTTTGGCTTTCGCGAGAAGGAAAATAATGAAAAATAACGTAAGGCAAACGTAATTGCTTGCTCGCTCGGTGGTGCGTTTGCCCATTGGGCCATTGGATCATTGGATCATTGGATTGGACATTTTGAGCATTTTGCTGGCCATTTTCGACACGCACCGCTGGCCATTGCAATCAATCAAATCAAATGGCGGCAAAGTTCCATTTCCCGAAAGTCGAAAACACCGTA